GTCCAACTGCACCAGCACCACGGCGGTGGCGGTGGCGCCGCTCAGCGCCAGCAAGACCAAGACCAAGAAGAAGCATTTCGTGTGCCAGAAAGTGAAGCTATTCCGGGCCAGCGAGCCGATCCTCAGCGTCCTGATGTGGGGGGTGAACCACACGGTAACCAGCTCCCCCGCGCTCTCCCACGCCTCCCGCCGCCCCGGCCCTCGCCCCGCGGGCCCTGCCAGTGACGCCTGCAGCCCCTCGCCAATCCACTTGCACGCCCACCCGACCCTTGCACGCCGTCCCGGCCGTGTGTGCACTCCCCGCGCGCCACGCGAGGCCTGATGTCTTCGTGGTAGCCGTCGCCGCCTCCCTTTCCCTCCAGCCCCTCTGGCTTCCTGCGTCTGGTACGCTCGTTTCGGGCCGCCCCTGCACTCGGAGGGAAGGCCTGGGTGCGGTGGAATCGCTTGCATCCCCTCTCCCTCTCTCACCTCACCCTGTTACATGTGTTTCCCCCCTTATTCCTTATAACCCGCTGCCAGCTCACTGTCCAGTTGACAGGGCACGTGGTATTAGCCTGCCTGACTATTCCTCTGTTTCTGGTCGTTTGGTTGGTTTGGTTGCTCAAAGTTTCCCACCCTCTAGATCTCCTTACCCCTGACTATGGAACTCCTCTCTGGTTTCCCTTTTTTCTTCTTGAACAAGATGTATCAACTGAAGAAGCACAGGCTTCTTTGAACTACAGACTCTTTACCAGGGTCTTCCCGGGTTAGGGAGAAGAGAGAATGTAACCATTTGAGAGAAGGTGAGGCCTGATTATAAAGACTATTCATAGTAGAAATAATGTGTCTTCTTGAATTCTCCTATGGTGTTTACGTCAAAGATGTGGACTTCTCATTTATTGAGCCTTCTATTGTATGGTCGTGAAGAGTGTGATAATGGTTGGTAATTAGGATTGAGAAAGAGGTCCCTGGCTCCTTGGGGTGCTTTGAGATTGTCCAACAGCCCCTGTCAGGAAGTTGGGAGCCCTACACAGTGTTTGAGCTGGCAGACTTCATGTCCTGTTTGTTTAGGGTCTTCTTCCTCTTGTAGCTACTTGCTCCTTGCATTCTGACAAATTCATTGTGAGTCCCTACTCCAGGAATTAGCAAAGGTGGTAAAAAGACCTCGAACACCCAACTTCACCAACTAAAAGTTTGGAATGAGATAGATGAAGCCAATGGCTTAGGTTTCCTTTGGATTTCAGTTCTTTAGTCTCCCTGACTTTTCCGAGCACATGAAATTGCCCATGAGACCAAATGATGGCAGAGAACTCTGTGGCCAGCAAGACTTTTTGCTTTGCTTTGGTAGAGGAGTCTTTGGCTGGATATTCAGGAACCATAGTCTGAGCCAGGGTTTTAGATCTTTACAGAAAAGAACTTGTGTATGGTGAGGTCTTTGTTGGTTTCTTGGTCTTGGGCAGGTTACAGTTTTTAGTACTGAGGTGAGGTTCCTGGCCAGGATAAAGAATATCACTGGTTTAATGCCCAGACCTCTGGGAGCTGCTTCAGGCCAATAGTCTAGCAGAATTTGTTCCTCCTGCTTCCTGCTGCCTCAGGGGTCATTTTGACAACATTACAAGAAAAACTGGGTCATCAAAATGTGAACCCTGTGTCCCTGCCTAGAAGTCAGTCCTTGATTTTGTTCTGTAGCCTGCTTCTCACTAGAAAGCATCCTGTCTGTTCAGAGAACTGGTAGAGGTCCAAGAATCAGGAATATTACAGCTAGCCAGAAGGGACCTTGGGCCCCTTACTTTAAACATGAAGAAATGGAGGTCTGGGTGAAGGATTAGCTCACTTGTGGTCACATCGAAAGATGCAGCTCATTGTCTAGCACTGCAGGCTATACTGGCCAGTGGTGGTGCTTGAGTGACAGATCTCATTTTCTTTGCCTCCTGTGCCTTATCCTATCTCTCAGCCAAGTGCCAGGACAGTTGGGAATTATGGTCTTGTTAAAAAACCTGAATGTGTGCCCAAGTGTGCGTGCCTATGGATGCCAGTCCATGGGAGTGTATATGGTACTTGATTTTCTGATAGGCAGATAATCAATCTGCTCAGATGCGGGCATCAGGTGGGAGCCTCTGAATGGCAGATGGATAGGTATCTCTGATTCCTACTCTGTTGGATTAGGCAGTCACTTTAAGAAAGTTTGTTTGAGGGCTAGCTGGAGGGGCATTGACTTTAAGCAAGAACCATGCCTCTGGGCATAATGGGCAAGCGCCTCAGGGGAAATGCTCTGGGCACCACTGCCCTGGACAGGCTGAGCTTCAGAGGTCAGTTAGTCCCAAGTTTTATTGCTTCAACTCAGCATGTAATAAGTCTAGTATTTAAAGGTCCCCATCTTGGAAATGGAGACATCTCCCCAGAAAAAATGTCTAAAAATCTTATAATTCTCTAGAGGGTCAAGACCACATAGTTCTTGGTGGATTGCTAGCCTTTGTTGGAGATTACCTTACTTCAGAAGCCCACTGTTGCAACTTTTTGCAATCTAAGGTTTCAGATATCACCTTTTTTTAAAAAAAATTCTTTAGTTTTTCACCCGCTTAGGCCATAATGGTCAATGGTTGCTGGTGTTTGTGATATGAAGGATGGATATGTCTCTGTCTATAGCAAAATTAGTTACTATGTCATGAGGTGATTGATTTACTTCTAGGTGGGAAAAGAGCCCTTTAAGCTCAGCCTTGTCACATGAGCTGCTCTCCTGGAAAGGATGCAGCTTATGGACTTGATAAAGAAAGGCTGTGTAGGAAACAGGGAGAAAAATCGGAAGACTTTGGATCTTTCAGGGGGGAACTAATAAAGAGAAGAAACCAGTGTTTTAGTGAATGAAAAAAGTTCAGAGGGTCTGTCTGGAGTTAGGGAAGAAATGGCCTCAGAGAGGGGCGTGGAGACCAGAGGAGGAAGGCCTGGTTTGATAACCAGTTGGCTATTTTAGGAACCAGATGTGTGTGAAGCCTTGCGCAGGTAGGAGCAGTTGATGGTAACTATATTTAACCATTTGGGAAGCTGCAAGACTTGTTCTTCAAAGCAACTGCACCTTTTCCATTTCCACCAGTCGTGTGTGTGTGTGTGTGTGTGTGTGTGTGTGTGTGTGTGTGTTGGGGGTGGGGGGGTTCCAGTTTTTCTACATCCTTGTTATTGTCTTTTATTATAGCCATTGTAGTGGGTGTGAAGTGTTATCTCATTGTCATTTTGTTTTGTGTTTCCTTGGTAACTAATGATGTTGAACATCTTTTCATGTGCTTATTGGCCATTTGTATATTTTCATTGGAGAAATGTCTATTAAGATCCTTTGCCCATTAAAAAATTTTTTTTGCCTGTTTTTTAATTGGGCTGTTTGTCATTATTATTGAGTTGTAAGAGTATTTTATATAAGTCCTTTATCAGATATATGATTTCACAAATATTTTATCCCATTCTGTGGGTTGTCTTTTTCACTTTCTTGATGGTTTCATTTGAAACTCAAGTTTTTAATTTTGATAAAGTCCAATTTATCTATTTACTTTGGTTGGTTGTGCTTTCGGTGTCATATCTAAGAAGGTTTTGCCTAACCGAAAATTATGAAGGTTTTTTTCTACATTTTCTTCTAAGAAAAACTCAATATAGTTTTAGCTCTTACATTTAGGTTTATAATCCAGTTTGAGTTCATTTTTGTATATGATGTGAGGAACACATTCATTCTTAAGTCTGCTTATTTCTCTCCCACATTCTACCTTCATGCTGTCCACGCATTTTCTTTGCTCAGTGCAATTTCCTTACTTGCCTTTTTCTCTTGCCCTGCTTCTTTAAAAATCTTTAGTAACTATTTCTGCCCTAGTGAGGCCTTT